CCCCAAAGCCCCAAAACCCCAAAACCCCAAAACCCCGTATTTACATGATTTATAGGAATAATAAAAGTAATTAATACATAGTAGTAATGAATGCTCAGAAAGTGAGAAACACGAGATTCTCCCTGAAAAATCCTCCCAGGAATTTACTATTCCATAAGATTAAGCCAACATTGGCTATAAGAAGAGATAGAGTTATCCCAGCTCAACAGAAAGGGTCTCAAAAGGTAAGATATTAAGACACGCTTATGAGATAACCCAAACTGTGGGTATTGCCAAAATTCATATCTCTTCAAATTTTGGATATTTATTCATGCCTTTTCAAGCTTAATCATCTGGTCTTTGAATTTGAAAGCTAACAGCTTTCCCCTTCAAAATTAAAGCCAGATATTTTAGAGTTAGAAATATATGTTCATTCTTATTTTATTCGAATAAACTTACTTTAATTTAAGAGTGTGCAATGGTGAGTGGATAGTTCTATAAATCTTTGAAAAGTGCCAGAATGCTTCTTAAAATAATCAAGCATCCTAACAATGTTTGAATAGTCTCATTCTTAATATAGGTAGTCCCTTTGGTAGCAGGTGAAACACGCAGAATATCGTTGAAGCAAGGACATGAGAAGAATATTAATATTAAAATTGCACAAAAGGTAGCCAAAAGTATTGGTGAATCCAAAGAATTTGATAGGTTCAGCCAATTCCAACGACATAAGAAGAGACTCTCTCAACGCCCAAGATCTAATGACTGATCAGATGACTCCTATCTCCTCAGCGACCCCGAAGTAACAGACCTATTTATAAAAATGAGGGAGAAATTGAGGTTTAGCAGGTACAAAAACGGTCGTTTTTTCTCTCCTCAAAAGCTGCTCCAAAAATGCCTTGAAATAGACGTCACCAGGTAAGGACCCCTTCTCTTCCCTCTCTAACCTCCCCATAGACCCAAATACTGAACTAGGCTGCAATTCTCTGACCAAAGGAAGGCACTAAACTTACCAAATATTATCCAATAATAACTAATTTTTAAGTAAACTACTTTTTTTGAAGTTTTCAGAAATATTGGAATTTAGGAATGGAACGAAATTTTAGTGCATTTTTAGGGTTTCAGTTGTAGTAGAGATGTGTGGGGTTTTGGGGTTTTGGGGTTTTGGGGTTTTGGGG